CTGGGATTACTTGCCTCCAATAGGGACTCAGTTGCTAAGTGGTTCGGGTGGGGGTGGGATTGCACTGTGTCAAAAAGGGGCAAAGTACAGGGAAAGGACATGAATCCATCAGGGAAGTGAGAGTTGAGTTCATTCATTGAGACAAAATAGTGAGGTTTTCAAAAGCCAATGCAAGAGGAAAGACTGCTTCCCACCCCCTCCCCAGGCAATCCTGTGAAAGACAGTGCAGAAACCCACGGCAGCATCCCAGGGGTCCCAGGGGTCACGTCTCCCCAAGAGCAAGCGGCTCTCCAACAGTGTATCTGATGGAGACAGGCTCCACTTCCCAACCACATTTTTCTCTCTCATTTGATGGTACCTGGTTATATACCATTTGAGGAACTCTCTCCAGACTGGGCAGGTGGGTTACAAAATGGACAGGGCAAGTTTCCATAATGCCTCATCTCTGGGTCTATAGGTTTTAAGGGTGGCCAAACCTACTGGCCTGAGGCGAGGAAATCAGAATTTGATTTTTCACTGCACAGGACTACAAGCAAATGTCACACTGCCCTCTGGAGGTATTCTCATTGGGTCCAACCCTGAATTAGTGATTGGCAACCACTGAAAAATATGGGTTGTAGAGGTTCACAGGTCTTTTTTGGCAGGGGAGTATGGAGGAGGAGAATTAAGTGTTCGCTCACTCCTTGTGAGTGGTGTGAAAGACTACAAGGGAAGAAGGTGAACGTCAATATCGCCTCCCAGTCTCAGCAGCATCAAGAGATATTAGACGCATATAGACAAGACTCTCAAAAGTGGTGGTAAGAAAGAGACTGTGACTAATCAGTGGGGACGGGTGTGGAAGGAGGTATTTTGCAAAGATGACCTCACCTGTATATTCCGTTCCCCTGTGAGCTCCTTATGATGTGATACTGAGGTGGAGTCTATCTTCCCTCCTGAATCGGTGGGATAGGGCCACAACAGAAGATGACTCAAAGGCTAAGTTATAAAAGCCTATCCAGTTTCTACCTGGGCCTCTCAGGATATTCACCCTTAGGACCCAGCCACTCCGCTGTGAGGAATCTGAGTAGCTGCATGGAGTGGCCACTCTCCCACCACCATGGCACCTGCTGAGATCCCTAGCTAAGAGCCAAAGGCAGCTGGCATCAGACAAGTGACTGAGGGAGCCTCCTGATGACTCCAACCACTCACTTTGGAGTTGGCATCAAGTAAAATAGAGATCTGTCCCCACTTAGCTCCTCCTCAAACTGCAGATGTGTGAAAAACGAAGGGTCACTGTATTGAGCCACTATGTCTTGGGGTGGTTTGTTACACAACAGGCAACCAAAAAAAAAAAAAAAAAGGCAAGGTCCCCTCTGACACGGGACACTTCTTGGCACAGAATAAGCTGGACCTGAAGAGAAATGGGACCTTGCCTCTCTGCCTTTCATGGCTTTTCATAATCTGGGTTGATTCTTCACCAATCTTAGCTTTTTCCCCTCTTGACCCCAGATTAAGTCGAGTTCTATCTCAGCTAGAATTGTGTGTACATGCGTGCTCTACGTGGTGCTTTGCACAACATGGAATTGTGGCCAGTATTTAGTGATCATATTTACACACATCTACATTTCTGTCTTCCCCCCCAAAAAGCAAAAACAAAAACAGAAGATCTGCCAATACTTGATTTGCATACCCACATAACAGTAATTTGGTCACAAAAACTCTTTTTGTCCTCAATCCTCTGTCCTGTCTGTTGCATTAGATCAAGCCCGTCACTTTGTTATACTTGCTGTCTGACCTCTATAGGCATTTGGGTTTGTGGCATCTATTTTAACCAACAATTCTTTACTGGTTGGCTGGAATGAATTCTCACACAGTTATCCAGGAGTTCATATCCTATTGAAAAGAAAAGCTTAAGATAATCGGCAAAATAGAAGTCAGAATAATAAAAAATATATATACCTAAAGGTCAAGGTTTTGAAAGTTAAATATATGAAAATATATTTCATAAAATATATGAAAAAATATATTTCATAAACTATATGAAAAAAGCCACAAGGGGAGGTGACTGGGATGTCACCTTGGGTTATTACCATACAGCTTCATGCCATCTGCAACCATCAGCAGCCGCTACATATACATGAGAGCCCAGAAGCCAATGAACACTCTGTCTTGCAAAGTTCGTTCGCACTGGGAGCAAAATTACCTGAAATCCAAAGTCTACTAACTGAATCGAATACACTGTTTAAGAACCCTATTTACCTTTTGGTATAGGTGCTGAGGAGGGCCTTACTACACCACTGTATAAAGACTCTCAAGGTGATAGTTTCTAGAGAGAAGATTCGATTTCAAGTTTTGGAAAATCACCTAGCCTGGATGACCCAGCTGGAACTGATACATTTCATTTTATTTTCAGTGTTTGGTGTCTTTCATTTGATTAAAGAGGTTGTTAATAAATTTTTCCCATATAACTGACTAGCATAATTTTTACTGTATTTTATATGTCTTGTAATGAGTGGGATTAAGGAAATGGACCAGTAAAGGATGTCAGTCCACTAAGAAAATAATTACCATTTGTATATGGAAATAAGGATTTTATCTCCTGAGGAATAAAACTGAAAAGGAATATCCTATTGCTTTCTCATTAACTATGTGGGAGAAGTGACCATTTTCTAAGGTTTATCTCATAGTGATCGGTATTCACTGATTATTTTAAGAAAAGTTCCACGTGGGGCACCTGGGTGGCTCAGTCGGTTAAGCGTCCGACTTCGGCTCAGGTCACGATCTCACGGTCCGTGAGTTCAAGCCCCGCGTCAGGCTCTGGGCTGATGGCTCGGAGCCTGGAGCCTCCTTCCGATTCTGTGTCTCCCTCTCTCTCTGCCCCTCCCCTGTTCATGCTGTCTCTCTCTGTCTCAAAAATAAATAAACGTTAAAAAAATTTAAAAAAAAAAAAAAAAAAAAAAAAAAAAAAAAAAAAAAAAAAAAGAAAAGTTCCACGGTTCAAAGTCAACCCAAAGAGCACTGAGTTAATTCTCATGCAGTCTTTATGAGAATCACCAGCAGTGTGAAAACACTCTGTAGTTTAATGAAGTCTGTTTTTGTGGTGGGCCAGTTATGACATGTTGAAACACTACTCTACACTTGGTCTTTCATTTGATATCAAATTGGATGGGCTTTCTAGAAACGCTACTCTCTGGCGGGAAACAGTATCAAGTTATCCTTTAAAGTATACCCTGTTTAGGGGTGCCTGGGTGCCTCAGTCAGTTAAGCATCTGACTTCAGCTCAGGTCATGCTCTTTTGGGGTTCCTGGGTTCGAACCCCAGGTCAGGCTCTGCGCTGACAGCTCAGAGCCTGGAGCCTGCTTCAGATTCTGTCTCCCTCTCTCTCTGCCCCTCCCCCACTTACACTCTGTGTCTCTCTCTTTCTCTCCTCTCTCTCAAAAATAAACATTATAAAGTATACCCTGTTTTATGATATTACCATAGTAAGATTTTCCACGTCCCTTTCAACAAAACACGCAAGGATAGTTAAGAGGCATAGTACCCTCCCCACCCAAAACAAGCAAACACACACAAAGACTTGGCTCACACAGATATTTAAACAAGGTATTTTCTACTTCATATCAGAAGAGAGTTACGTTATTCAGCTAGTGAGGCCTGTGTTTGGGGTCAAATTCATGGTTTACAAATTCAACGTCTGAGATGCCGCTGCAGGAAGACATTTATACATCAGTGACCTCAACAAAGTGCAATCCTCATAAAACTCAATTTTATTGGAGCTGTGGAACACTTATTTTGGGAGGAAAGGACTAATTTATGAAAAACCAGACAACAGGATGGTTTTGAACTTGTTCTTACTATCATTTTCTTTATTTCTACCCAGAGTTAATAGCTGAGTGCCAGAATTAGGGTTAAAATTGGATGGCATCTCAGCCAGAAAGTTGTGGAAATCAAACTTAGAAGTCAGGAATAAAATTACTGAGAAATGCACTTTGAAATCGATCGGGTGCTTTGATTTTAATATCATCAAAACCTTAACACAATGCCAGAACAGCAAGGAGTTTTCATTTGGAAGAAGAGACTTTTAGCAAAGGGCAGTATTTTTGGATGAACTTTTATAAGTAACAGAGTATAGTCACCACGATGTTATGTAACTGTGGAAAAGTGTCCAAATGTTGTCAAGATCAGATAAACAAAGATGTCCAGAAGACCTAACCACCTAATCATTATGGTTACTTCACAATTCTTTTTTCCCCCCTCCTATGCATGAAGTTATCTATGAACAGGCAACATATCTACTCTGACTCTTTCAAAGCAAATCAGCAGCTGTCAAATCAACTTTGTTGGCTATTACAGTAAGCGAAAAGTTTCTCCACTTAATAGAGGATTTTGCTGGGGAAACTAAAGATTTTGCAGGTCTCTGAATGCGGCATCCTAACGGGCTCCCAGAAGAGCAAAGTTCCTAAAAGATTCTTAGTGGGGGGCCTTTCATTCATCTCTCAGATGAGGCAGCTGACCCCAGCTCCCTGCCTGGGACCCCAGAATAGCTATGATTTGGGAAGTTCTGGGATCCTGGTCCCAGGCAGCAAGACAGCAAAGTGCTATAAAGCTCACAGGTCCCTCCAACCCTGAGAGCCGTCCTGCTAGAGCCCCAAAGGGTCGTTCTCCTTTCCCATTAGAGGTGAATGGGGATGCTTGGCAGGTGTGCATGCAGGGGATCTATTAAGTAGGGTGCTGGGGACAGGAGAGTGTTCAGAGACAAGCTGCCCGAGGTCACCCGTGCTCAGCTTCCCGGGGCGAAAACTCGGGGCCAGGCGGCGGAAGCAGGGAACCCAGCCGCAGGCGCCTTTGGCTCCGGGCGTGCGGGAGCTGACCGTCCAGGGGAGCGCGTGTCGGGCGGGGGCCGCGGGGGGGCGGTGGCGTCCAGCCTCCGCCGCAGGGGACACCGGGTGGCCCCCGGGACGCCGGTACTCGCGCCTGCCCCGAGGGCGGGACGGGACGGGGCTCGGTGGGGACGCGCTTACCTGCAGGTAGGGCCGCCCGTGGGCCACTCCGCCCACGACGATGTCCGCCGAGGCCATGGCCCCGGTGGGCGAGAAGCCGAAGCCCACGTAGCCGGCGGTGCGCACCTCGAGGCGGAAGGCGAGCCCGCCGCCCCGCGGGCCCCAGCTCAGCCAGTACTTGCCCTCGGAGTCGAGGAGGGTGCGGTGCGGGAGGGCTCGGCCCGAGCCCCCCGCCGCCGCCGCCGCCGCCGCCGCGCCGGGGAGCAGCCCCCACAACAGGAGCAGCGGCCAGCGGCACATCCTCGGGCGCCTCCTGCCCGCCGGCACCTGGGTCGCGCAGACTGGCGGAGCGAGGAGGCGG